TTACTGATATATTTTAGCTCTTACTGATATATTTTAGCTCTTATTGACATATTTTAGCTCTTACTGATATATTTTAGCTCTTATTGATATATTTTAGCTCTTACTGATATATTTTAGCTCTTACTGATATATTTTAGCTCTTACCGATATATTTTAGCTCTGATATATTTTAGCTCTTACTGATATATTTTAGCTCTTACCGATATATTTTAGCTCTTACTGATATATTTTAGCTCTTACTGATATATTTTAGCTCTTACTGATATATTTTAGCTCTTACTGATATATTTTAGCTCTTACTGATATATTTTAGCTCTTACTGATATATTTTAGCTCTTACTGATATATTTTAGTTTTTACAAATATTTTTTAGCTTTTACAGATATTTTTTAAATATTTCTTAGTTCTTACAGATATTTCTTAAAATTGTCTTAGCTTTTTTTTCCTTCCCAGACTTTTGTCACATTGCTGTTGTTTTTATTTTTTATTTGTTTTTTTTTATTTGTTCTGTTGTTTTTCGTCGTTTTTTATATGTTTTTTTTTTGTTTTCATAATTAATTTTAATCATTTTATGTTCAGAGGAAGCGCTAAATCCGAAGGTGTCATAGAACGGCCGGTGGAGCTGAGACCATCAGTCTGTGATCCGAGGAACGGGAGACTAGCTCCCGTTCCTTGGATCGGGATGTTGAAATAAAAGCACAAGGTGTAATAAAATACATTCTTTATTATGGATTACAACGTAAACAATACATGTTAATACACTTTATAAAGTACACACAAACTTACACGGGGTAAAGTACACACAAACTTACATGGGGTAAAGTACACACAAACTTACATGGGGTAAAGTACACACAAACTTACATGGGGTAAAGTACACACAAACTTACATGGGGTAAAGTACACACAAACTTACATGGGGTAAAGTACACACAAACTTACATGGGTAAAGTACACACAAACTTACATGGGGTAAAGTACACACAAACTTACATGGGGTAAAGTACACACAAATTTACATGGGGTAAAGTACACACAAACTTACATGGGGTAAAGTACACACAAACTTACATGGGGTAAAGTACACACAAACTTACACGGGGTAAAGTACACACAAACTTACACGGGGTAAAGTACACACAAACTTACACGGGGTAAAGTACACACAAACTTACACGGGGTAAAGTACACACAAACTTACATGGGGTAAAGTACACACAAACTTACATGGGGTAAAGTACACACAAACTTACATGGGGTAAAGTACACACAAACTTACACGGGGTAAAGTACACACAAATTTACATGGGGTAAAGTACACACAAACTTACATGGGGTAAAGTACACACAAACTTACATGGGGTAAAGTACACCCCAAACTTACATGGGGTAAAGTACACACAAACTTACATGGGGTAAAGTACACACAAACTTACATGGGATAAAGTACACACAAACTTACACGGGGTAAAGTACACACAAATTTACATGGGGTAAAGTACACACAAACTTACATGGGGTAAAGTACACACAAACTTACATGGGGTAAAGTACACACAAACTTACATGGGATAAAGTATACACAAACTTACATGGGATAAAGTACACACAAACTTATATGGGGTAAAGTACACACAAACTTACATGGGGTAAAGTACACACAAACTTACATGGGGTAAAGTACACACAAACTTACACGGGGTAAAGTACACACAAACTTACATGGGGTAAAGTACACACAAACTTATACGGTGTAAGTTACATATTAAAGTACACAGTATAAAGTGACGTACACGAAAACTTTCACAGCATAGTATACAGAGAACACTCACATGAGTGTACACAGTGTATGAAGAACACTCACATGAGTGTACACAGTGTATGAAGAACACTCACATGAGTGTACACAGTGTATGAAGAACTCACATGAGTGTACACAGTGTATGGAGAACACTCACATGAGTGTACACAGTGTATGAAGAACACTCACATGAGTGTACACAGTGTATGAAGAACACTCACATGAGTGTACACAGTGTATGAAGAACTCACATGAGTGTACACAGTGTATGAAGAACTCACATGAGTGTACACAGTGTATGAAGAACTCACATGAGTGTACACAGTGTATGAAGAACTCACATGAGTGTACACAGTGTATGGAGAACACTCACATGAGTGTACACAGTGTATGAAGAACACTCACATGAGTGTACACAGTGTATGAAGAACTCACATGAGTGTACACAGTGTATGGAGAACACTCACATGAGTGTACACAGTGTATGAAGAACACTCACATGAGTGTACACAGTGTATGAAGAACTCACATGAGTGTACACAGTGTATGAAGAACACTCACATGAGTGTACACAGTGTATGAAGAACTCACATGAGTGTACACAGTGTATGAAGAACTCACATGAGTGTACACAGTGTATGGAGAACACTCACATGAGTGTACACAGTGTATGAAGAACACTCACATGAGTGTACACAGTGTATGAAGAACTACATGAGTGTACACAGTGTATGGAGAACACTCACATGAGTGTACACAGTGTATGAAGAACTCACATGAGTGTACACAGTGTATGAAGAACACTCACATGAGTGTACACAGTGTATGAAGAACACTCACATGAGTGTACACAGTGTATGAAGAACTCACATGAGTGTACACAGTGTATGGAGAACACTCACATGAGTGTACACAGTGTATGAAGAACACTCACATGAGTGTACACAGTGTATGAAGAACTCACATGAGTGTACACAGTGTATGGAGAACACTCACATGAGTGTACACAGTGTATGAAGAACACTCACATGAGTGTACACAGTGTATGAAGAACTCACATGAGTGTACACAGTGTATGGAGAACACTCACATGAGTGTACACAGTGTATGAAGAACACTCACATGAGTGTACACAGTGTATGAAGAACTCACCTGAGTGTACACAGTGTATGGAGAACACTCACATGAGTGTGCACAGTGTATGAAGAACACTCACATGAGTGTGCACAGTGTATGGAGAACACTCACATGAGTGTACACAGTGTATGGAGAACACTCACATGAGTGTACACAGTGGATGGAGAACACTCACATGAGTGTACAGTGTATGGATAACACTCACATGTGTACACAGTGTATGGAGAACACTCACATAGGGTACAGAGAAACACTGCAACTTATCAACTCAAGGTATAACTTTGTCGCAAGTCTCTCTCTCTCTCTCTCTCTCTCTCTCTCTCTCCTTAGTGACTTACTTCGTCGGTACTATAAATGACAATTTAAGTAACAGCTGGCGAATTCTCCCCGGCTCTGGCGGTCCTTCCCGTGCATCAGGCGACGCAGTGGCCGGGCTCCAACTGCGTCAGGCGACGCAGTGACGGAAGGTTAGGCTAGGCCGGCTTATCACACCTACTGACCTTGTTATTACGGTATCACGGGCGATACTTCGCCAGACTCTACACCAAAAAACTTCTCTACAGTGCCAGTGCCCCCCTACGGATCTAGGGCTTACTCGTCATTATAATAGTTTACAGTATCACCTGTAAGTGGTGCGCTAAATCCGTATGAGTCATATAGCGCCTGACAATGAGAATCGATCCAAATAAGGGGAGGGTGCATCTGGTTCCATGGATCAAGAGCCCTTTGCAGGCATCAAGGCACATCTCCCATGACTTACTGAACAATATATATCCGATGCTGGTGAGGGGCTCTTGATCCAGAGAATTGGATCTGTGCTACTGTTCCCTGAATTAAGCCTTAATACCTTCCATCCTCCCCACCCCCCGACAGGCGCTGCATAGTCCATACTGGTTTAGCGCTCCTCATAATCAATACAATTTTCAGAAAATTTAAAAAATATCTGGAAAAGGTGAAAATATAGGAAACGAATGTATTGGTTTTTCACTTATTACGAACTACAGGGACGTTAGGGTCATTTGTTTTTCCTGGTTACACTGATTATTGCCGGGTCAGACAACTGTTACTGTTGCTGTGAAGGTGATTACCTCTTCAAGGGTGTGAGGGACTGACCACCTCAGACTACTTCATGGGTGAGGGACTGACCACCTCGGATTACTTCATGGGGGAGGGACTGACCACCTCGGATTACTTCATGGGGGAGGGACTGACCACCTCGGATTACTTCATGGGGGAGGGACTGACCACCTCAGATTACTTCATGGGGGAGGGACTGACCACCTCAGACTACTTCATGGGGGAGGGACTGACCACCTCAGATTACTTCATGGGGGAGGGACTGACCACCTCAGACTACTTCATGGGGAGGGACTGACCACCTCAGACTACTTCATGGGGGAGGGACTGACCACCTCAGACTACTTCATGGGGGAGGGACTGACCACCTCAGACTACTTCATGGGGGAGGGACTGACCACCTCAGACTACTTCATGGGGGAGGGACTGACCACCTCAGACTACTTCATGGGGGAGGGACTGACCACCTCAGACTACTTCATGGGGGAGGGACTGACCACCTCAGACTACTTCATGGGGGAGGGACTGACCACCTCAGACTACTTCATGGGGGAGGGACTGACCACCTCAGACTACTTCATGGGGGAGGGACTGACCACCTCGGACTAAAAGTTTATTGACTGATCACATTATCCTTACCTTTCCAGGCAGCGTTGTATGACCCTTGTTTTGATTATAATATTTTACCTTTCTACCGCTTCTACCGTCTTTGATTTTAGTCACCTCCGTATTTGACTGAGGAAGTCCACTTAGGAATCCATTAAGTTCAAATGAATTCTTTTCCGTTCTCCCATTTTACCTTTTGTTGACAAGTTCGATATTGTTGCCCTTATTTATTCAAAAATTCTCAGTCGTATTTACTTTATACATATATATTTACATACTTCCTTTATCTTCCTTATTTTTAACTCAAGGCCTTCAACACTACACTGGTGATCATATATATATATATATATATATATATATATATATATATATATATATATATATATATATATATATATATATAATGACAATGTGTGTGTGATACATAGATAAATACAGATATCATCCATACAACATCTCAGGTAGATGCAGTCACCTACACGTTACATAATCCTTCACTTTCACGACAGAATAGTAGACGGGTCATCGCAAGATTGAGACCCGTGCCAGGACTACGGTCTTGGCGAACATTATACATACGACAGAATAGTCACCATTCACACTGGAAGGTGACGCTTAACAGGAGTTGTTGACTGCATCTGGCACGCCCTCCTCCTGACTGTGTTATTCTCAATGTAACAATGCTTTCTCATATTTACCAAGTTTGAAAGGAATTTTATAGACGAACATGGCCTTTTCCGTGGTCTTTTCCACTTTAACATTGTGATGAAGACTAAAATATCTCAGTTCCGTGGCTAGAACACCGTGGTCGTTTTCAGCTTATCGCTTTATAGGTTAACACTGTGTTCTTTTTCATCTTAACACTATTTATATATATATAATATTTAGTGTGTATGTGGGAAAGAAATAACAATAAAATGCGTGATAGTAATTATATAAAAATATCACAATGAAAACAGTTAAAAAAAATCCTGAGCGCTTTAATGTGCTTACACACACACATCTTCAGAGGAATGAAGATATATTTGTGTAAGCGCATAAAATCGGTGTGTACTCACCTATTTGTGGTTGCAGAGGTCGAGTCTTAGCTCCTGGCCCTGGTATGTATATATGTGTCCTACCGCTACATGTGTCTAATTTAATAACGAATACACATACTTAGACGCATACTGGCAGCAGAAGGAAACTGATATTAGAGTGAGAGCCAGCACCTTTCTTCAGCCACCAGCACCTGGCTTCAGCCACCAGCACCTTTCTTCAGCCACCAGCACCTGGCTTCAGCCACCAGCACCTTTCTTCAGCCACCAGCACCTTTCTTCAGCCACCAGCACCTGGCTTCAGCCACCAGCACCTTTCTTCAGCCACCAGCACCTTTCTTCAGCCACCAGCACCTGGCTTCAGCCACCAGCACCTTTCTTCAGCCACCAGCACCTTTCTTCAGCCACCAGCACCTGGCTTCAGCCACCAGCACCTGGCTTCAGCCACCAGCACCTGGTTTCAGCCACCAGCGCCTGGCCTCAGCCACCAGCACCTGGCCTCAGCCACCAGTACCTGGCCTCAGCCACCAGTACCTGGCCTCAGCCACCAGTACCTGGCTTCAGCCACCAGCGCCTGGCCTCAGCCACCAGCACCTGGCCTCAGCCACCAGTACCTGGCTTCAGCCACCAGCACCTGGCTTCAGCCACCAGCACCTGGTTTCAGCCATCAGCAGTTGGCTTCAGCCAACAGCAGCCGGCAGCCAGCACCTGGCTTCAGCCACCAGCACCAGGCAAGGCAGCTTATCAGCAGAAGTGAAGCACCAATAGCTGTCAGTATCTGCTCAACTAGTCGCAAAAGCTGTCACCTTCAACACAGTAATCCCGGAGCTATAATATAAATGCCTCACTAACCAAGCGTTCTGTGTACAACACTAACCAACAATCACTGTCTCTAAGCACAAACGTTTAGGCGCAAAAAATTCAAGGCGGATGGGTCACTTTTTTTCAGTCTCTCCCTATTTACAGTTATACTATGTCGATATTCCTCACCTAATCCTTCTTTCTCTCATCATTACCAGCCCTATGGTCAATAAAAAAAATAAAACACATGCTATTTTCTGAAAATCAGAGCAAACACAGCGTTCTGAATATCCGGATTCGTCAATAGGCGTTCATACGAACTTACGAAGAAGCTTACGTATATACGTATTCAATCCTTTCATTGAAGGTGAACGTAAAAAAAGACTAGTCAAACAAGCAACACAATATTGGAGATATTGGTGTTCTCACTTTTTTTTCGCAAACCCCCCCAAAAAACAAGAAAAACAAAAATCGATACCTAAATAAAAATGTCTTAATTTATTCCTTGTCACTTGAAGAACAGTTTCTTGGCAAATTTCACTTGTCAAGCACATCACTATTCGGCTTTCACTCTAACGCAGAGTATTCCCTTTCTCTGGTTAACTTTCTCGGGAAAGGGCACAAGGGTGATATTGTCGGTAGTTCTGTTGTACTGGGCGTTCATCCAGTCGTATTCCACGTTGCCCAGTGATGTTATGGTAGTCTCCGCCAGTGGGCGGTTGATTCTCTTCAGGTGGGCGTGTCTGCGGGCCGGCACCCAAACGCTGCTTATTTTCCCAGTCTTGACGCAGTCTGCAAGAAAAGAAGATATAAATTTTCTGAAAATTTTAGTTTTAACTGTTAGGTAAAAGGATGCATGTGCAACTAACAACTTGACGAAGCTCCTAGAGAGCGAAACGTTGCCACAGTAAAATGTCGCATTAGTCGAACTTATAATAATAATAATAGTTTATTTAGACATGATACATAGTTATACAAGGAATTATGGTAGCTGGGTGAACATGCCAAAAAGTCCCTTGTATGCAGAGCATTATGGGCAGGCTTAAAATTAACTTAACATTAACTAAACTATGATAGATTCAGTGGTAAATATGAGAGTAAACAATATACAATCTGAAGTACAATTGAGTATTTTAGACAATGAAATTTGAACATTTAAATTTTGAAGCATTATAGTTGTACAAATTTGTGGCATTACAATGTAGTATAATATAACAACTTGTCCTTTTACCCAACGTATTGTCGGTAATTCTACAGACATTATGAATTAGTGTGTGTGTGTGTGTGTGTGTGTGTGTGTGTGTGTGTGTGTGTGTGTGTGTGTGCGTGTGTGTGTGTGTGTGTGTGTGTGTGTGTTATAAATTTTCTATACTGAAAAGGAATTACCATGTCACCCTGAACATTTCGGCCTGTATCTGAGGCCCTCATCAGCAAACTAAAACAGTGGCACGTGTTCAACGGACATTATTCAGTATTTATTCTTCTGGAAGTAAGAAAATATGGAGATTGTGGATTGTGAGCATCTAATAGAATTTTAAATCAAATATAACCTAGATAATTCATGATAGTTTTTAATCCAGATGAAAGATATTTCTTCAAAGCACCACAACACAGCCTTTGTGCGGTCTTCCAAGACCACTTAGCCAAGTACTTCCATGTACATATTACGAATGCAACGGCTGATGAACCTACTTCCTAATGTGCTAGTTGATAATCTGTTGGATTTTGAAGCTTCATGTTAAACTAAACTAACAGACCGGGCAGGGGGGGTGTTGACCCCCGGAACACCCTCCAGGTATACATCCTCCACGTAATATTGAAAATAGCGTAGCAATAAGCTACGGATGCATGTAATTTGTTAAAGAAAAATCTTTCCACCACCACCGTCCGACGTACCGCAAGGCACAAACTATCGCCATCCTTGTTTTAAACACCAAAGAAGACAGAAACTCTCCCCTTCTTTCGTTAGAACACCAAGAATGGTTGGGCAATCTAACAGGCGAGTTCATAAGCAATTTCTCTTGTTTGAACGACATTCTTGGCGGTAGAATTCTTGAATAATTTGCATTTTGTGATGCTGGACATACATCTTTGTTGTGAGGTAATGGGCAGCGAGATCTTATACCTGTTTTACTGGTATGTTAGTGAGGTGCTGAAGCTTACGATAGAGAGTTGTTAACCTTTTAAGTACATTACTAGTGTGTTGTTCTATCCTTCATTTCTGTTGAGCTCACCTTGTAGCTCATTAAGACACATGTGCAACAGTTGGGTGTCTTTATAGTTGAGAAGTTTCGCTTACACTGCTAGTAGGCTTCTTTATTCAAATACCCAGCTGATGCACATGTCTTAATCATCAACTTGTCTGTATTTTATACTATTTTCAACATCAACTTGCAGTTTCCTGCCATCCCGTTGAGTTCCTCTATGTGCTTTACACACGCTCATATATCCGTGATTCCAGTTGGTCTAACACACTTCTGGTGTTTAATACTGTGTGGAAGGCTTTCTTGTGGTCTTGGATTATACCATCTACATGACTTTCTCTTTCTTATTTGATTTCTATCTCCTTTTATACAAGTTTCTACTATAAGTTTGATGTATGATTTTTCTTTTTTCGTCAACCTTGTTATACTTTTACCACTTTGTTATACCTTGTTATACTTTTTTCACTTTCGTTGTTAGCTAGTTCTGTGTGGCTTATCCTATCTTTACAACTGCAGTTTTGAAGACTACGAAGCCTAGTAATTTCTTTGTATAAGTTCTAGCCATTATTTCTTCTGATGGATTAAGATCTTTGATTTTTTTCACTATGTCGTTCTCAAATTGCTTTTCTGCTTACCTCGTAAATTACAAGGTAGGCATTCTTCCCTTGCTTTCATTTATACTTCTTTTGTTCCGGTGTAACTTGTGATTCGTTCTGTTCAATAGTCTCTTGCTTTTGTTTTAATTTCTTTTACTGATGGTTGAACCACGGATTCTGTTCCTTAACTCGGTCTTCTTTTGCTACGTCAGATGTTCTTTCCATGATTTTTTTTTCTTGTAGAGGAATTGTTGGTATGTGCATTTTGGAGGTGGTGTTGATTCCTGGAACTTTGTTTCCATCGGTTTGATGATTGACATGTGTAACAGGTGGGTATCTTTACTGTTGAAACGTTTCGCCTCCACAGTAGTCTTCTTCAGTCAAGTACAGAAACATCACGTGTACTAGTGAAATGAAGATGATGTAATCAGTCCATCCAACATTGATGGACTAATTACATTATTTTCATTTCACTACTACATCTGCTGTCTCTATATTTGACTGAAGAAGCCTACTGTGTAGGCGAAACGTTTCAACAACAAAGATACCCACCTGTTGAACACGTCTTAATCTAAAACACCGACAAACTGATCATTATTTTCAACATTCCATCGATTTATTGAAGTTTTTGACAAATAGTGAGCTCAGTTGTGCAACGTCTTCCCTCGTGTCCATGGCGATAAAAGGTGAAGGCCATTTGCTTTAAATGTCCATCAGCAACAATTTTCTCAAAGTATTTTTTTAATGTGTTCTATTTTTCCTTTCTTTACGGTAGAACTTCAGTTTTTTTTTTCCTTTAAACAAAGTGGAAGTCATTAATAAGTTTTCACACTTTTTTGGGGCTAATTAGTCTTGATTAGGTCTCATTCCCACCCCAAACTAGTGTTTGGCGTTTTAAACTCATTGTTTACGAATGTGTTAGTGCAGTAAGCAGCACAGGTTCTGATATTGTTTTTGCAGTCGACTGTATCATCTTTCAAAATGTTCTCTCCACTTTGCTCTAACTAATTATTAGTCTCTTGCCCTCCGCTGGTTGCTTTATCTTCATGTGTTGAGTTTCATTGTGTGTGTGTGTGTGTGTGTGTGTGTGTGTGTGTGTGTGTGTGTGTGTGTGTGTGTGTGTCTGTGTGTACACATATAAGTGAGTGCTTTAATGATGTACTCGGCTCCTTCCCCATCATTATCATCGGCACACAACACAACATTGCTATGTTGCTGGCATTCAAACTAGCTAAGCTTCCCTTCGCCTCTCTCGAAAAGCCTTTCATTATTCTGCCTTCTCGGAATAGCCATGACTATTTTTATTTTACGTAACAAGCACGGATATACCCGCAGTGTGTCGCTACCTTATTCCATATGACAGCTAACTGCTAGCAGCAAAATCTAGCTGTATATCTTCATTTTGTATTCCATCACACAGAACGAGTTGAATATCTGTAAATTAAGTGATGTGATGTGTCGACCTGAGCTGAGAGACTTCAGTAGAACGATAGGAATATCGTAAGAGGGAAGGAGGAAGAGAATGAGGAGAGGTTAAGAAAATGAAACGGGGGAGGAGGAGGAAGGCAAGGGAGGAGAAGGGTGAGAGGTGGGAAGGAATGAAAGGGAGAGCAGAGGGAGAGAATGAGAGGGAGGGGAAGTGAAAGGAGAGGAGAGGTGATGATAGCTGTGGAAGAGGAAGGAGAAAAATTGATAAAAATTATAAAGAGTAACAGTAATAAAGCCAGTAAGAACAGAAATAACAATAACGGCTAAACAATAATATTAGCAATACAGAAAAAAAGGTTAAATAACAGTAAAACAATAACAAAAAGAGACAACGGTTAAATAATTATGAGTAGTAATAAAAATTGCAATAACAGTAAAGAAAGCAAAGCAACAACAAAAATAACAGCAATATCCAAAGTAGGAACATAAAAAGTAATATCAACAAAAAAAGCATCAATAATAAAAACAATAACATAAATAATAAGGCCAAGAAAAGAACAGTAAAAACAACACCAGTGGAAAACAGAAACCACGAAAAAAAACTCCTCCCTGTTCCTTCAACCCCTTGAAAGTGCATCACTTACCCCCCTTAAAATACAAAAAACTAATCCCTGGAAAAAAAAAAAAAAGAGTACAGCACCCTTCCCCTGAAAAAAAAATCACCCTTAAAACCACCCGAATCCCTTAAAAAAAATCAATAATTTCATCAATAAATTCATTATTCTTTCATTCCTTCCACAAGAATATTTTGACTCTTGTAATTTTCGCCCTTCTTTTTGACTGCAATAATAGTCAAGAATATTTTCCAACACAGTAACTTACCTTGTTTAACACTGAGTTGTGTCAGGCACTATTGTATCAAGTATTTATAAAGTACTGTATCAAGTTTTATATCAAGTATAGTGTCAAGTATTGTATCAAGTATTGTATTGTATCAGGTATTTTATAGTTTATCTGGTAATGTATAAATTATTGAATCAAGAAAAATTTAAAGTATTCTTTTAAATGTTGTATATTGTATTAAGTATTGAATTAAGTTTTATTTAAAGCATTGTATCTAGTACTGTATTATGTATTTTTTAATGTATAGTATAAAGTAATGAACAAATTATTGTATCAGGTATTATATAAGGAATTGCATGAAGTATTGTATTTAGTATTGTTTAAAGTATTATCCAAGTATTAAGAGTTGCTTGTTTGTCCTAATTCTTTTTCAAAGTTTTTTTTTTTTTTTTTTGCATCATTCAGTTTTTAATTCCTGTCATGACAAATGTATTTTTTTAAGTAATAATCTCTGCTCTGAGTTATTAATTATTGTTCAAAACATAAATAATTCTGAGCAGCTATGTTCACTCGGAATTAAAAATTTATTGCAATATTCTCTGTAATTATGATATTTCAAAACAATATCTTCTGACGATACTTTTTTATGCAAAGGATTGAGAAATGGCATTAAGGTAAATTTTCCAGCACACACACACACACATACACACACACATTATAT